CCTATCTCTGTCACCTCCTCCAGCCCCCTACACCCACTCCCTATCTCTGTCGCCTCCTCCAACCCCCTGCACCCCTTCCCTATGTCTGTCACCTCCTCCGCCCCTTTCCCTCTCCCCACTCTCTGTTTCAGCTTCTCCTTCCTCTCTCTCCCCTTCCCTCCGCCTTCCTGTCTTTCTCTTCCAGCCTGCCTTCTGTCAGGCTCCCTTCATATCCAGCCTCCTTGACCAAGTGCTGCTTCCCTCCCCTCCTCGATATGTCCTTGTGTGATTTCTCGGGTAGCAGGCTGTGTTCCCTGCTGAGACTCAGCTGTGTTCAGGCACATACAGCACGGAAACAGGCCCTTCGGCCCAACCGGTCCGTGCTGACCATAATCCCAAACTAAGCTATTCCCACCTACCTGCTGCTGGCCCATATCCCTCCAAACCTTTCCTACTCATGTACTCATCCAAATGTCTTTTAAATATTCTAACTGTACCCACTCATTTACCACTTGCTCAGCAAGTGCATTCCACACACGAACCACTCTCTGCAGCAAAAAACAAAATTTGCCCCAATGCCTTTTTTAAACCTTTCTCCGCTCACCTTAAAAATATGCCCCCAGTCTTGAAATCCCCCACCCTAGGGACAAGACAGCTACCATTCGCGTTACCTATACCCCTCATCATTTTATGTATCCCTATAAGGTTACCCTTCGAACTCCTTTGCTTCAGTGTAATAGAGATCCCATCCTCTCGTTATAAGTCTGTTCCAGGTAAATCTCTTCTGAACCCAGTCACTCCAGTCCCAATGGGAACATAATTACCCACCGGTTTGCCCCGGGGATGGGTAGGCAGAGCCAGTTTGTGACCAACGGGAAAGAGGCGAGGGGTGGTGAGTGGGGGGACTGGGTGCGGCCGAGCAAGGGTGGCGTGGTTTTCGAACTTTCCATGCAGGCACCTGAGCGAAACCAGAGCTCCTCGGAGGGGGAGGGCGATGCGGAGAAGAAGGAGAATGCTGAGGGCAGCAGTGATGAGGAGGGCAAGCTGGTCATTGACGAGCCGGTGAAAGACA